GGAGAGGCTAGGGCAGTACTGTAGTATGTGCTCAGGTGTCTGTCTTTCTGCTCCACAATCACAGGCAGCAGATTCTTCTATGCCTATCCTGTACAAGTGTGCACATACAAATTAAACTATACTACACAGATACACAAAATCTGGTCTCTCAAAGCAGCCAAGTCGGTTGTTTCTCAGCAGAATGACTACACGTGACTGACTGACTGACTTTCTACCCCACTAGGACATCTCACAAGCGATAAACACCCGATGACACAAAGTGCCACCATGTGGATGAGGATCGCCGTGGAGAGGTCTCAGAAACCGCGTTTAGACAATTGGCCATATGTATGGCCTGCCTATATTGCAGCCCCTGGCAAAAGCCAGAGTGGGGCTTCAAATGACAAAAAATGTCGTCCTATAAAGGGAGAAAATGGATTATCTCTATGACTACACATGTCGGCTGGGGGAATAAATACCCCTGTTGAGTACCAAGGGCCATAACTGGGGTGTTAAGGATAAAACTGTGAGGGCAGTTCAATCCCCCCAGGAGTTTAAATGAAACTGTGTTAGCAATTCAGTCCGGAGGGTGTTAAAGTTCCCAGAGTTTAAAAAAAGCTATTCTCAAGAGAATTATGTGAAAAGTGGCGTTAGGGAATTCTGGACAAGCCACCTAGACCACACATGGACAGGTTCTGCATACAGGTCTATGGCAAGAGACCGTGCCGAAGTGGGGCTCAGACGCGGGACGTAACCTACTCTTGACTAGAATGTCCTTGAGGTTACGATCATGCATGTAGGCCACTAGAGGATGTTCAGAGAAAATCGTGCTGTTGGCAGGGTCGGCTTCAAGGATGGAGCGATGCTTTTTTCGGCGTATAGGGCTAGACCTGTATTTTTATAGAGCACATTAGTGGGCGATGTGGTCAGGATCATGCAGGCCGCCGGTACTTCTTAGGACTGCCCCTGGTACCCACTCAAGGCTGGGTCGAGCTGGGAGTCAAGATCATTTTGAAAAACAAATCCGGCTCCTTGGGGATCCAAACGCACGACTTTTTGATCCGCAAGCGGGCGTCTAGCCGCCAAAGCCAAGGCAATTCCCAATGGCAAACTATTTAAACTAAAATTGTGTAAGACCAAACAACGTCAACAAATTCTGGAAGTGGCGTTCAACGACATGTAAAACCATATCTTCAGGCTGTCGTTCTCTTTAGTATTCTGATCCTCACTGGCATAACAGGTCTTTGGAAATTGCAAGGATGCCGTTCTCTTTAGAATACTGGTCCTCACTGGAATACCGGTTTGTAGAAATTGCCAGGCTGTCGTTCTCTTTGGTATACTGGTCCTCACTGGAATACCGGTTTGTAGAAATTGCAAGGCTGCCGTTATCTTTAGTATACTGGTCCTCACTGGCATAACAGGTCTGTGGAAATCGCAAGTCTGTCGTTCTCTTTGGTATACTTGTCCCCATTGGCATAACATGTCTGTGGAAATTGCAAGTCTGCCGTTCTCTTTGGTATACTGGTCCTCACTGGCGTAACAGGTCCGTGGAAATGTCCAGACGGTCGGCTAGATATTTTCAACCGACCATGCTCTAATGCAGTGTTTCCCAAACATTTCTTGGTTGCGGCGCCTCTTTTCTATTAAACCTTTTTTCCACGGCGCCCTAACCTAAGTAAAAGTATAACTATTCGTGTCTTGGTTAAATGATTATGTGGCTTTTACAATATTTCGCGGCGCCCCTGTGAAGAGGTCGCGGCTCACTGATTTATTTAATAAAATATTCTCTTCTTTTTCTTCTTAGCTCACAGGTCGACCCAGCCTTAAACGGGTACCAAGTACAGTCCTGGAAAATAAAGGCGAAGGGCCGTTGCTGAACACATCCCCCACCGAGTGCTCATTGTTTTATAAAATATATATATATGCCCAATACGCCTGAAGGAATTGGTAAGAGCTCTTTACTTTTTAGTTGTCAGCCAGTGCGTGAAATATGTGTGTCTTATTTACCGGTCCCCTGGTGAAAAAAGGTTGAAGAACGCGACTTTGAATGATGTGCAGCTAAGTGTTGTTAGACATGATGGATATACAGTTGACGCTGAGATGGAATGATGTCATTATGCGGAACATTAGAGGTCATAATTCTTCTGTGTTTTGTTTTTCCCCCAGTGCGGTCTAACGTTGGTTTAGTAAAGTAAAGTACTCTTTCTACACCTTCAGGCGTAAAAGGGCATATAGGGCTAGACCTATATTTTTTAAAGACAAACTGGCACTTGCTGAGTTAGTTGCGTTTCCTTTACAGAACATTGCAGAACCAACTCCAACATTTTTTCGTTTTGTGGGGGCTTTTTTTTTGGGGGGGGGGGGTGGCAAATTTACGTACAGTAGTTTGCCATTGCCCCCTGGACGGTCGGCTTCTCGATACCACTGTCGAAACCAACGCAAGGGGCAAGGCCAGTAGCAGGGATCAAACGCGGCACCCCGGCATTACGAAGCAAGTTCGCAACGTCTAAGCCACAGACGCCGACCAATACGTCTCAAGACGTGAAAAAGATCCTTCACTTTGTGTGGTTGCTTAGTGCAGTCGTATAGGATGTCTGCTGGGGTCTTCGCTCTGAAAGGCAATTCTGGCGTGTACAAAACCACTCGCTATTGTATCCTCGCGGACCTTCACTAGCGAGCTCGGTAAGCATCATTTACTCAGTCTGGAGCCTTTTGTTTGTTAGCATTTTTATTAAAGTCGTGAACATAAAATATTCGAATATGATCATTTCATAGTTAGTGTATATTTGTATGCTTTAAGCCTTTTGTTTATGTATTTTTATCGAAGTCGTGAACATAAAATATTCTAATGTGATCATTTCATAGTTAGTGAATATTTGTGTGTGTATGCTGTGTTGTCTTTATTTGCTGATAAAGGCTAATAGCCTCAACGTCCTTTTTTTTTCACTGTAATGGATTTTGTAAAGCTTACATAAACTATTTTTTCTTACCCTTTTTCTGCTCTTCCCTATAATTTCCTACCCCCTTTTTAAAACTGTCCCATACAGCCACGTTGTCCATCTCTCACTATTCTCCCTTCCTTGTCTAGTTGTTATCCATGTTTTTACTGTATGAAGCGGGAGACGCTGTGGGGTAGCTTGCGAACATAAGGTTTCAGTTTATGCCCTGGAGGTGAATGACCGAGCCTTGAATGGATACCAGGTAAAGTCTTGAGAAGTAAAGGCGGCCGACTTATCTATAAAAATGTAGGTCCAGCCCTATTGTCCAGTACACATGAAGACGAGTAGCCTAACGGCGCTGTCCATGCATAATTTTGAGTTAAAAATCGACTTAAAGTATTTCAGGATCCTCGCCGGTGCTGCAGAGCCTGTGCACTGTGATGAGCTTCTTTGGACTCGGGCTTGAGTTAAAAGAAGAACAGAGAACTTATAAGTTACTACCCGTGTGTCGTGATGTTGATCCGTTGTTCAAACCTCAAACATGAAGGAGTGAAAAAATTTTTTTTTTATTTTTTACACGTATACGACAGTGTGTCGGCTCTGTGGCTAAGTCGATGCGAACGCTTCGTAATGCCGGGATGCCGGGTTCGATCCTAGCTGCGGACCATGCGCCTTGCGTTGGTTTTGACAGTGGTATCAAGAAAGCCGATCGTACAGAAGCAATGGCAAACTAATGGACGTAAATTTGCCTAGAAAAACCACACAACAGCCAGGGGCTGTTGGGGTTGGTTCTGCAAAGTCCTGTAAAGGATACGAATTAATCAAGTAACAGAAAGTATTGTGAACGGCACTCATAGAAAGAAGTAGAAAGATAGAAGAACACACTAGATAACATAAAAATCGAAAGCTATAGTTACCGTGCCGGGAATTGAACCTGTCACCTCCAGACAGTACGCAACTAACCATACAGCAGTGTAGGTACTTTAGAGCGCTTTAACCTTCGTTTTCTCACTGCAGTTTACATGAATTTAATACAAACTGAGTGTGTTTGCTTTTGCGATCGCTACTTTTTGCTTGACAGTTCTTCGTCGTATACTACAATGTACATTGCCTCAGATAATGTACTTTTAAAGTCTTTTGGATTAACAACGATTGATTGATTGATTGATTGATTGATTGATTGATTGATTGATTGATTGATTGATTGATTGATTGATTGATTGATTGATTGATTGATTGATTGAGTGGCACCTTTCCGTCTTTCCGGACGATATTTTATATTACTGAGGTGTCATGGAACTCATAGCCGATGACGATGGCGAGTGTGACTAGCAAGACCCGCACGCATTAAGAAAAACCTTCTATAATTACAGCTTGGGATTTCAGGACCCTTATTGTTAACATTTGTGTTTAGTATGTTTCTTCTCAGACTCTCAGCTCTCATCCTTTCTGCAACCATTTCATCCTTCATTCTCAATCCCTTCCTGATGTGTCCCCTCAACAAAACACAGTTCATTGCATTTTGTCCCCTCCCTCCACCCCGAGTCCGCCTTAATACCTGCATCATTCATGTCCCACTTGCACACATCATTATACTGTATTAGAGGTCAGATTACCAACGATAAGAAAATCAACAAAAATCGCACTTTTCAATTTTTATAGAAAGTAACAAGTTAAAATCCAGAGGATCGCCTTCCCTGCAGCTGGGTTAATTCCATACAGCTTAGTCTCTCTTTACAAAACAGTCAACCATGCCGTGCACATAGCACGAATGTCACAGCCCTGGCGACAATCTCCAGGGATCCCCTTAAAAATGGCACCCATGAACCGAACGACGCAGCCGTAACACGAACCCATGATCTCCAGAACTCGAAGCAAACTCCCATAATTTGTATATAATGTAGCTTACCTCCAAACCTTGGCTCCTAGCCTTGAGAAGGTACAGGAACAACCCTGGGAAGTAAAGACGGCTGGCGTGATGCTTACCACATTACCCACACAGTGTCGATTGATCTATAAAATATAGGTCTATCCCTTTGTGCACAATACGCAGGGATACGTGGAAAAGGGTCTTTTACTTACCTCCTTCCATCACGAAAGACCACCACATCTGTGTCATCTCTGTTGGCGGGTCTGAAAGTGATACACGTTGTCTTCTCCCACTCGGACATGGCACCTAAGATGGCGTCCCGATCTTGAGAAGCTAAAAAAAAGAGTTTTCAAGTTTCACAGATGGTCAAGATTATTTAAAAATATCTCATGAAAAGAAATTGACATGAACATATTGTGATAACTGGAAAACTGTATGAAAAAGAAAAAAAAAAACAACAACGAGACGAAAGCAATTATATATTCAATGTAGTGTTCTTAAAACCTTTGAGGTTTTGAACAATGGATCAACATCATGGCAGACGGGTAGTAACCCATAAGTGCTCCGTTCTTCTTCTAACTCAAGTCTGAGTTTTAATAACAATGTGTCGGAAGTGCCAGCTGGTCCTGAAGAACCAGAAATTCAATACATAAGTCATAAGTGATAAGGGTAAAAGGTAAAGTCGGGAGATATGAACCAGCGTCATTGCACACGGTTATAAACTATAAGTGCTCTGCCACCAGTACGGACAGCTGATAAGAAACTGTCCGCCTGTGTCGCCGTCTGCAGGTAACTCCGTAGCTACAGCGACTTTCCTCCATTCACCCCAGAGTGTCAATTCTGGTACCCATTTCTTAGAGGCTGTGTGAAACCCGGGAACACCGACCATTGCTTCAGCGAGTCGCAGCTGGATTTGAAAGCGAGCCTCCTATCATAAGGGATGTGATTATCTATACAGCTGGCTCTGGGTCGAAAGGCAGAATAAAAGCACGGTGGGTTCATAAGAAGAGCGAATGGACGAAATACACGATACCACATCATCTACAGTGAAAATGGAGGTGGAGGTAGTCACTGTAGACTTCCGGTGGTTTCAGAACCAGATACAAACATGTGTCGTACATGCAAAGATATGCATTAGTGGGTAGGTCATGCGTCTTAAAGAGGAAAAGATCACAGTAATGATCGTTGATTTTGGTGGCTGCGTGCGTGAGATTGTAAACCCTGACAGTTGCTTATTGGAATAACTCATCACATAGCCGATCCGATCTGGTCGGGAGAAAACCAGAAAGTTTCGACTACGCTCAGCCAGCTTATAAAAACGTTTTTCTTTATAATTGCAACCTTTATATGGTGCACATTTATTATTATAGAGCTTCTTGAATTCATGCTGAGTACTTGTGTTGACAAATAGATAACTCTACATTAGACACATCACGAGAAGAAACAAGCATAACATGACCAAACCAGCACTGAAGTGGGATTAAAGGAACTGTGGAAGAGAGGGCGTCGAAAAGACCCCCCCCCCCCCCCACCACTACCACCCCGACCCCCCGACCCCCCTTAAACCCCCCCCCCCCCAAAAGAAAACGACCGTTTATGAGACAGGTCATATGTGACGGTCTTAATTCCATTCATGATAAATCAGCTGTACACACATGCCGTAATTGTAACCGACTCACAGTATGTTGAGAAAGGTGAAAATAAGCATGCTTCGTGCAGAGTGGCAAGCATCACTTCAGATGTCCCGGGTAGGTAACATTCTTTGGATATTTTCTCCAGGTTATGCCGGTGTGTTGTGAAATGAGCAGGTACATAAACTCGTTGGCTCTGCACCACGTGGTGGTGAGTTGATGTATGACAAGTTAGATATTGTGAGGGCCCTTTGGGCCGAGTGAACGGTGCGGAGGCGCAGATAGATCATTACGGTCTAAGAAGAATGGCGCTGCGAGGAGTTAGCAGGGGATCTGGCCAACGCTTAACAGGAGAAGGATGAGACGGATATACAATCAGACGGTTACTGGTACCATCAGAATTAGACCTCTTCGCTTGCTGCTGAAGATGGGAACTGACCACTTATGGGAGTGTTCCAAGTGCTGTGTTGTCGATTTTTAATTCAACATTCCATTTATGATATCAAAACAGGAGTTAAATGCTGATGGCCATGTGTACGGTATCCAAAGGTGTATTGACAAACACTTTGATCCAAAATGAGAAAATGTGCAAATAACATAAATAAATGGTGAAGACTCACCCAATTACGCCAAGCACTCGCTAACGCACGCACACTCGTCCAGAGAAATTCAAATGACATCTTCAAACAGCTTCTTACAGGTCAACAGTATGACATTGAGAGTCCCGACGGTCAAATCGACCTCATCTTTCGCAGTCTGAACAAGGCAATGTCCCTCCTTGGTGATTCGGCCATGAGATCCCTTAGTTTTAAACACTGCTGCTTCCTGCCGAGCGCTATAATCAATGTACCAGCTCTTGGCTGAGGTTCTACGTGGAATCCCGGGGTAAAACTTCCTTAAGTATCCACGGTGACACGACCACACGTCTGTCTCCTTCAAACGTTATACTCCGAATCCTAAAGATTCCAATTCCCTAACAACATTACATATTGTTATGACGTCCTAATTGCTCAGAAAGTATCGATGTGTTAGTAAGTAAGTAAGTAAGTAAGTTAGTTAGTTAGTTAGTTAGTTAGTTAGTGAGTGAGTGAGTGAGTTAGTTAGTTAGTTAGTTAGTTAGTTAGTTAGTTAGTTAGTTAGTTAGTTAGTTAGTGAGTGAGTGAGTGAGTGAGTGAGTGAGTGAGTGAGTGAGTGAGTGAGTGAGTGAGTGAGTTAGTTAGTTAGTTAGTTAGTTAGTTAGTTAGTTAGTTAGTTAGTTAGTGAGTGAGTGAGTGAGTGAGTGAGTGAGTGAGTGAGTTAGTTAGTTAGTTAGTTAGTTAGTTAGTTAGTTAGTGAGTGAGTGAGTGAGTGAGTGAGTGAGTGAGTGAGTGAGTGAGTGAGTGAGTGAGTGAGTGAGTGAGTGAGTGAGTGAGTGAGTGAGTGAGTGAGTGAGTGAGTGAGTGAGTGAGTGAGTGAGTTAGTTAGTTAGTTAGTTAGTTAGTTAGTTAGTTAGTTAGTTAGTTAGTTAGTTAGTTAGTTAGTTAGTTAGTTAGTTAGTTAGTTAGTTAGTTAGTTAGTTAGTTAGTTAGTTAGTTAGTTAGTTAGTTAGTGAGTTGGGTTATCCTCATTGCACTCCGGACATGTCCATAGGTGCTCAGATCCTCCCCTCAGTATGAACCCCAACGTCCGATGACTAATAGTACCAGTTCTATGTTGATTAACAAGTCTTCTGGCGTGTCTGGTGTGCGTCTCGTTTTTTGCTATGCCGATCTTAATTCCCAAGTCTGCCATTCTGGCGAGTGATGTGGATTCACTGCCACCAAAGTCCTCTATCCTTCCCATTTCTCTGAGGGCATTGATTAAATCAGCATGATCCATAGGCTGACCGTCGATAGTGATAGCGGATCCAGCCAACCTGTCAGCTCTTTCATTTCCATCGACGCCTGCGTGTCCCGGAACAAAAATAAAGGTGACTCCACGCACAGTGGACTTCTGTAATGATTTAAGCCATTGTCTTCGCACTGAACCTGCCTGAACCCTCCGGATCATACTCATTGAATCACTGAGTATACATACACGAGTGTATTTTTGTGTTTCAAGCCAGGCAAACGCTTGCGTCACTGCCATCACCTCCATCGTCATGCTACTGGTTGTCATGGAGAAGGCGCCGTTGGCTTCTTTGAAGTATCGATGTGTTTTAGTGCTTATCCGCACGCGACAAATGTGTGACAGAGATTAAAAGCAGAATATGTCAAGAAAATGAAAATAAAGTAAGTCAGAAAATGAAAAATTTCCTAAGCAATCAATCTCTCTCATTTAATGTCAGGAAGACGGTGCTAAAACGTTACATAGAACCTGTTCTGCTGTATGGCAGCAAATCTGGGAATGTCGGTGAACAAATTAGGAAGAATTTGGAAGCAGCAGAGATGTGGTTTCTGAGACGAATTTTAAGAATACCTTGGACGGCCAGAGTAACCAACAACGCTTGCTAGAAAGAAGCTAATGAAAGTAGATCTTTATATACAACAATGAGAAAGAGACAAACACTGTTCTTTGGTCACATAATGAAACAAGAGACATTGGAGAACATCTTGACAACTGGAAAGATCAGTGGAAAAAAGAGGTAGATGTAGACCAAGAGAGATGATGCTGGATGAGCTGAAACGATGGCATGGAGGAATATCATTAAGAGAGCTGTTCCAGGTAACTAGGGATCGTGATCTGTGGAGACGCATAAGCTCCTATCACAGTTTGTAGGCCATATGATGATGATGAATGGTTACTACTACTACTACTACTACTACTACTACTACTACTACTACTACTACTACTACTACTACTACTACTACTACTACTACTACTACTACTACTACTACTACTACTACTACTACTACTTCTTCTTCTTCTTCTTCTTCTTCTGCTTCTTCTTCTGCTTCTTCTTCTTCTTCTTCGCGTTCACCGGTTGTAAATTCAGACTGAAAGTTCTCGTTATTCGTCCACTTGTTGACTTAGGTCCTGTTCCAGAACTTGAGTTTTGCGTGCACATCCTTTATACGTTTCTGTCTTACTTCTGGGCAAGCTGCACTCCGACTTCAGAGGCAACGCCTCTATTGATCGACTTTTACAAGACGTGCTTGTCAGGGATTGTGACGTGACGCGGTGGATTAAATGTTTATTCTGTTGAGTAGGGATTTTCCTCTCAACACATTCCCTCCACCAGATTAACGGAACTAAAATCCGAGCTATGTTGCTCTCTGACAAAGTCCTGGATATCCAAGAAAACAGCCATATTGGCTCGTTAAGTACATTAACATTAGCTGAACTTGGTACCCACAAGAGAAGGCAAGGAATTTTAGCATGATTTAACATCTGGCACTAAACACAAACAATAAAATAAAATGAAACACAGGTGTCACGTACGAAAGGTTGAGTTGAACATGTATGGGATGACCCCGTTCTTCCAGAGAGAGAAGCCGTTAGCTGAAGCTTGACGCCGAGACCTTGTTCCCGCCTGACCTGAAACACTGCAACACGAAGAGACACTTAAAAAAACCTCCTCTTGCATACAGTTAGTTAGTTGCGTATCCTGAACATGACGTTGCAGAACCAACCCCAACAGCCCCTGGTTTTTCTAGGCAAATTCACGTCCAGTAGTTTACCATTGCCTCTGGACGGTCGACCCTCCTGAACACCCCTGTCGAAACCAACGCAAGGCGCATGGCC